TTTAGACTATCAACATGGTGAATTACAGTGATTGCTTTATAAACATTGAACTAGCCTTGTGTTTTCCAATGATTATGGTGTGTTATCTTTTTTATATATTACTGGATTCTATTTGCTATAATATATAAAAGTTGTGAAAAGTTGGTGTTTAGTATTCTTATAATACCTTTGTCTACTTTGGGATTATGGTAAAGCCACTCTTACAGAATATGATGGCAAGTGTTCAGTTCTATTTTCTGTAATAGAAAGTATAAAACTGGTGTTATTTCTCCCCTCAATATTCAATACAATTTTCCTCTAGAACCATGTGGTCCTGGAGTTCTCTTTAACAGAATATTTTCACTATGAGTTCTATTTATTTAATAAATATAAAATTATTCAGATTATCAATTTCTTCTTCAGTGACTTTGGTTGCTTGTGACTTTCAAAGAATTTGTCCATTTCATATAAATTGTTGAATTTATGTTCAGAGAGTTATTTGTTGTATTCCTTCATTATTATTCTTCTTAATATCTGTAGAATCTTTCATGTCAGCCCTGTTTCATTCCTGAAATTGTTAATATGTGTCTACTCTCTTTTTTCCTTGAACAGGCTAGAATTTTGCCAATTTTATTTACCCTTTCAAAGAACCAACTTTTCGTTTTAATGATTTTTTTCTACTATTTCCCATCTTTAATTCCATTATTAAGTGACTTAGCTTTAACATGTTTTTGTTTTTTTTCTACTTTATTTATATGGATAGTTAAATTACTGCTTTGAGATCTTTCTTCTTTCCTAATAAAAGTTTATACCTATTAATTTCCCTCTACACTGCATTTGCTGAATTACACAAATTTTAGTATTATATTTTCATTTTAATTCACTTCAAAATACTTGGCTATTTTGAAGTATGTTTTATTTAAATGTGTATAATTTAGTTTCCAAATAATTGTGGATTTCTCAGATTTATAATTTAATTTCATTTTGGTCAGAGGATATATTTTATATGGTTTCAATTGTTTTAAAATTCTTAAGTTTTATATTGTGGCCCCACTATTACATGACCAATCCAAATCAGAGCCTGAAAATTTCAATAATACTAATCCTGTCTTTATTTAAATACTAATAATACTAACCCTGTCAATAATTTAAAAGTTTGTTCATTGATATTGATTATTTTCATTAATTTTTATTTTTAATATGTTGTATTAACATATTATTTATCATTATTAGTAGACATCTTAGTTTACTTGGGCTGCCACAACAAAGTTCCATATACTGGATGGTTTGAGCACATGATTTAAACAACAGATATTTATTTTCTCACAGTGCTGGAGGATGGAAGTCTGTGAAAATTCTCTAGCCAATGACATGGTCAAAAACATGGACTTTTCCCATTTCTTACTTTTTCCTGTGAAATGTACAGAGCTTCAACAGTCATTTGGTGACCTTCAAATGGCATGCATCAGGCAAATACCAGGGAAATCCCTTGTTCCCTGACTTTAATAATTAGTACTAAACAATATATAATGTGGTATATTGAAGAAACTATACCATAACTACCTATTCTCCTCGATTTTCTTAAGTCACCTAGGAGAAAATTTCTGTTTTCTTGCATCCAAATACATTAACTCTAACTTCCACTGGAGTAGGATTTTCTGATGGAGATATACAGAACATGTTGCATTGACTTTGCCTAAAGTTTCTGATGCTCCCCTATCCTGACCATAATCACCAGGACTACATGAGAAAGAAACATCTAATTCGAGATAGCTAACTCTGACCCAGAGCAGTCATTGTCAAGTATATAATAATAATCAACATAAGAATAGAATCCCAAATACCAGTTCTAATCTTAAACCTGAGATTGGCTAGCTTCACAAAAAATGTCCTGAGAACATTATTTAAAATACAGTCCCCATCCTCAGTGATTCCCTTCTAGCAGGTCTGTAGTGAAGCCCATGTGATTCTGAAGATTACCTAAATTTAGTCTATCATGATAGTGCCTGAACTTGACTGGAGAGCCTCATTTGGAAATTTAATGTTATGTAATTTTACCATCGCTCACATTCCTGCCATTTATAAAGTGCTATTCTATCCAAATGCCAATTCTATCCCATCATTCTTTATCCTGTTTCTCCATTATTAATACTCCTAGCACTGTTTTCCCCTCACCGCTCACTCTGAGAAACAAAATACCAAGCTTTCTGCACCCTCAGTTCTAAAGAACACATGATGTGACCTTACCTAAATACTAGCTTTTTCCATAAGATCATTTCAATTGTATATTTCCCAAGGGCTGACATTCTTTTCCAATGCCCCATAAAACACAAGGCCCAAAATTAATTTTGCCATTTCTCTAAATCCCCATTATTGCTCCTACACACTGATTTATTCTTCCATGTATAAAAACGTCTTGGCTCATGACACTCAATTTATTGACCTGTGTTATCCATACTCATCCATTCTGCTTTCCATATTCATTGAAGACTTCAGTCTTGGATTTTTTTTAAGTTCTCTTCTTTAGCCCCAAATATTATAATTTTGTATCAATTTAATATCCATGTGAAAGGTCTAGCCAATATTTAGCTTTAAAACTCATACCTCAACTTTTGTGAATTTTATTTTTCACACCATCTCAAAAACAACATGGTAACATTATCTAAAACTATTATTATAGAAATTATAGGCTGAAATATTTTTCTATTTGACTACAACCTTTCCTTTAATGGCCAATTTTCTTATGGTCTTACTTCCACTGCTATTGCTTTTTCTTCTATAATAATTCTATAGAGTTCTGAGTGTTTACTAAAAGACTTGGCATTTGTCCTTTGTAATTTATTGTGGTTCATTTACATTAGCCTGTGACCCAGTATATGTATCTTGGGTAATTAGGGAAATAGCTTTGGTTCTTAGAGCCAAATGTGGGGAGAAAATTCATGTTTGAAACAATAGTAGAGTCCTGTTACAGGTGATCTCAATCCCAAAACACAACCCCAGCATGCTCCTGTGTAAATTTGTAATGCAAATAATTTCAATTACAGCAGCTCATTCCTAAATTCCTAACAGTTCAGAAAGTCCAACCAATAGCTGATTTTATTGCCTTATTTTTTATTTTTAAAAAAATATTTTTATTGAGAGGAAGGGAGAGGGATAGAGATCAATGAGAGAGAAACATCGACCAGCTGCCTCATGCATACCCCCCACCTTTGATGTGCCTGCAACCAATGTACATGCCCTTAACCAGAATCAAACCTGGGACCCTTCAGTCTGCAGACTGACTCTCCATCCACTGAGCCAAACTGGTTTTGGCTACTGCTTTATTTACCTTTGAGAGTGATTAGCTAGAATGGCCAATGATTAAGACTTGTTAGGGATCACTTTGGTGGACTCCAATTTCTGTGGAAACTATGAAGCTGAGATATATCAAGACACTGATTAAGTGATCAAGGTCTGAAGCCAGAGTGTCATTAAAAATTAAACATAATCTGGCTGTGCTCTAGACCCAGGAATACCATGCTAGGTAACAGAGGAAGGCATACTAGGGAAGATTTAAATAGCAGAGTAGTAACTAGAGTTTGCTCTGTCTGAAGTTAACCATGTGTTCTATACTGATATATTGCATTCTTTCTGATAAGGCTAAAAATGTTATCTCCATTTGGTGACAAGGCATTGAAGTTTATACTTCAATTATTTACTTCTAGAAATGAGTGAATTATATTCTGTCCCCTTGAAGTTCTCCATTTCAATTTATCTATATCCAATTTATCATATAGTGATTTCTTAGCTAAGATATGCTGAGCACAAATAATGCAAAGATGAAAGAGACCTTTATGTGTTCCAATGTCATCAACTCCTATCTTCTTCTGGATACTATGTATTTGTAGGCCCTTATCCTACAAATAGGAGTGCTGTTTAAAATCCAAGCACAATACAGACACCATTTATCAAGATGCCTTCATTTCTCTCAAGTAGACCAATCCATCTCGTCTGTTCTTGAAATATTTACTATAATTACCATATCATTACACCAAATTGAAACCTGGAATCCTCTCTAAAAAGTAACTTTATTCTGATAAATCATACGTATTACAATAAAATAAAATTTAGGGCCAAAACCGGTTTGGCTCAATGGATAGAGCATTGGCTTGGGGACTGAAAGGTCCCGGGTTCAATTCCGGTCAAGGGCATGTACCTTGGTTGAGGGCATATCCCCAGCAGGGGTTATGCAAGAGGCAGCTGATCGATGACTCCCTCATCGATGTTTCTAACTCTCTCTCTCCCTTCCTCTCTATACATAATCAATAAAATATATATTTTAAAAAAATAAAATAAAATTTAGGAAGGAAAAAATTCTGTCAACTATCTCGTGTGTGTGTGTGTGTGTGTGTGTGTGTGTGTGTGTGTATAATTATATAATATAATTATTGCTTATTCTTAAACTACATTCATTTTACCTAACCAAATTAAAATTTAACATTGATATTTTCTATTGATAACAATGTGAATGGGGGATTGAATATTATTTAATTAATATAATTAAGGGACCAATATGGATCATTTTTAGATCTGATATATGTGGATTATCAATGTAGCTATCTCAGTTTAACTAGGAAATAAATTATAAGTAATATCTCCATTTATATCTCTCAATGTAATGATCACATCAACTCTGCAAGAACTCAATTTTAAGTCTGTGGAGGACAGTTTTCTCTCATTTTGCTAGAAAGCAGAGTTCTCTTGGTAAGATTTAACTAGCCAATGTAAACACTGCTATGAGATTTCAAATCTGAAACTAACTTATCCCCTTCAACTCTTTACAGCAACAGAGTCAGTGAAGAATAGCCTATATTCACTCCTGGCATAGACCTAGTCATTGTTAGACAATTTATTATTCAGTGGAAAACAGGACACTCTAAAACATCAGGAAAAAATAAAACTCAGATCAAAGTCATTACAAAGTTTGTATTGCAGTGAATTTATTCTACAGAATGAGGATCAAAATAATAAAAAGTTCTTACCATTTGCAGGCAAGCAGCCTGAACTGAAAGATATATCATCAATAGCTATGACTTCATCCTGTTCATGAGTTGAAATCACTTGACCTTGAAAAACAACCTACATGAAATAAAAGGATTTGCAAAACTTAAAGAAAACAACCTGCCCAAAAATACAAAAGAAATAAACAAAAATACAAAGCAAAGAACATCTCTCTCTCACAATCTTCAGGCAGAGAGCCTACAAATAAGAAACATCACTTCCTAGAAGCACTTGGGTGACCATGCCAGTTCCAAGTGGAAAGGGATCCAAGTGTAAATGCTAAAGGACTGGGAAAAGTAGTCATTTCTGTGTCTCACATGTCTAGCATAGGTTAGGTAACATGTTTGTGAAATGATACAACATTCACTTGGCTTCTGCCCTATAATCATTCTCTGTGTTTGGTTCCCATGTGTTCATACTACTTAGTATTTATCAGTTTTTATATCCATGCTCTATCTTGAACTCTGATGCTTGGCATTTCACAACTTTACCCCATTTTCACCTCTGTTTTCTGAATTTTGCTCACAGTCTTGCCTCAGATGTCCTCCACATTTTCTGCCATGATCTAAACATAGCTTGAGACATTGACCAGAAATGGTTGTTCAGTGACTTATTGTTACAATCACTGAACATTATATTGTGATGTGCAGCTAGTACAAGTCTGCACTAAAAGAAAATATATAAGTATAATTAATTTAAAAAACTTAGAAAGAAAAAAACAAAACAAAAACAAAATCTACTCTCCAGTCTCCTAGTTACTTAAAAAAAAAAAAAAGTAAATAAGTGTGTTGGTAAAGAGTATTATCCCACCCTTAGTAAAAATACCATTGACAATTTGAGCTTAATTCACGGATACATTAAATTAGTGTTTATTGTTAGGCCTTGTTTATAATATAAACATTTTATTATTTTAAAGAGTCGGCACTGCTTTTGAGCTTAACAACAGGACTGCATGCAGTCAACCCCAGCAGATCATTTTGCTGTGCTGCATTCTCCTCTGTGCCTGTACAACATGGCACACTGATACATTTTGATCAAATCAGACACTATCTGCCAGACTGTTAGAAATATTAAGAGAAATATCCATAACCTATTGAGCAACTTGTCAATAAGTAGCCCTTAAAAAAAATAATATTTTCTTCACATAAAACAGAATAACCCTTTGACTACTTAAAAACAGGATAAATCTATCAAAGATTGTTATGTAGGGATGGTTTTATATGAGGGCAGTGGAGAAGAGTGGTAAAATGTATATTTGGAACCAGACTACTTGGGTTCAAGTACCCGCTACACCACTGAATAGCAACATGACCTTGGAGAAGTTATTCAAGATGTCTGTGCCTTGGTTTTTTTCTTTGTAAAAGGGTATTGACAAAAATGATGCTATTACCTAGATGATAAAGCATTTACAAGGATATATGTATAGAATCACTTGATACATAGTATTTAAATACTTAATTAATTTAACATAGATTAATTAAAATATTTAAGCTACTATAAGAATACTGTTTACGAGAAAAAGAATTTATTCTCTACAGATTAATATTTAATTCTTCTTGAAAACCTTTTCATATAGATATATTCCCTAGTCATTGCTGAGCTAAGCTTACACACACCTATAGTAGCATATGAAAAGAGATAAGTAGAAATAGGTGTTAACTAATCATCAGGCTCTTCTTTTTTCTCCACACCCTTTCCCCAAACCCATTCATCCTCAGGATTTCAATTGTCACCCAGGTTGATGAAACACAAATTTACATCACAAATGTCAGCTTCTCTCCTGGACTCTCAGGCCACATCTCCACAGCCTGGTATGCATTTTCACTCAGATAGTGTTAGTCTGTTCTAATTCATAATGTTCTTTCCCCTTGAACTGGACCTGTCACCTGACCTTCATTGTCTGACAATGGTACTGATATCATTGTAATTAGCTACTTATTAATAACTAAAGGCTCGGTGCATGAAATTCATGCGGAGGCGGGGGGGAGGGGGGAGAAAGGGGGAGGTATCCCTCAGCCCAGCCTGCACCCTCTCCAATCTGTGACCTTTCGAGGGATGTTGACTGCCCTCTCACAATCCAGAACTGCTGGCTACCAACTGCTCACCTGCCTGCCTTCCTGATTGCCCCTAACCACTTCTGCCTACCAACTTGATCACCCCCTTCCCACTCCCCTACCAGCCTGATTGATACCTAACTGCTCCCTTGCCAGCCTGTTTGCCCCTAACTTCCCTCCCCTGCAGGCCTGGTCATTCCTAACTACCCTCCCCTGCATGCCTGGTCCCTCCCAACAGCTCTCCCCTGCAGGCCTGGGTGCCTCCCAACTGCCCTTCCCTGCAGGCCTGGTCACCCCTAACTGCCCTCCCTTGCAGGCCTGGTGCTTCCCAACTGCCCTCTCCTGCTGGCCATCTTGTTATGGCCCTCTTGTGTCCACATAGGGGCAAGATCTTTGACCACATGGGAGCAGCCATCTTGTGTGTTGGAGTGATGGTCAATCTGCATATTACTCTTTTATTAGATAAGACAGAGGCCTGTCCAGATGGTTTGCCTGAAGGGTGTCCCGGATCAGGGTAGTGGTTCCCTTGCGTCATGGGGTGACCTGGCTGAGGGGCCTGTGGTGGTTTGCAGGCCAGCCATGTCCCCTGGTGACCAAGTGGAGGCCCTGGTATCTGGAGTTTATTCACCTTCTACAATTGAAACTTTGCAGTCTGGAGCAGAGCCAAGCCTTCTGTTTGCTCTGAGACCACAGCTATTTCTGTTGGAACTTATGTATCTTCTATAATTGAAACTTTATAGCCTTAAACAGAGGCCTGGGCTGGCCAGGGTGTGTGGAAAGCTTGCTTTCCTCCATTGCCTGGGAAAACCCTAGCCTTCTGCTCTTTCCAGCTCCCTGGCTGCCACCATTTCTGTTTGGATGTATCTTCTATCATTGAAACTTTGTAGCCTTGAATGGAGGCCTAGGCCAGCAAGGGCATGCAGAAAGCTTGGCTTCCTCCATTGCCAGGGAAACCCAAGCCTCCTGCTCTCTGTGGCTATAGCCATCTTGGTTGTGTTTATTTGCTTATTAGTTCCTGATTGGCTAGTGGGTGTGGCTTGTGGGTGTAGTGAAGTGATGGCTAATTTGCATATTACTCTTTTATTAGATAGGATAGGAAAGAAAAAAGGGAAAGCCAGAAATTATAGCATGTAATTTGGGAAGCTTCACCAGGAAGCTGCAACTTTGCACTCCCCAGGGAACATAAATTCATGCCCAGTAAATCTGGGGTGACATAGGGAAGGTACTTGCTTGTCAATCACACCTGATGACAGAGATGGTTGGCAAAAATGAGTGTGGCCTTTGCAAGCCCATGGAAGTTTGGGAATGAATAATCCTCCTTAACAAAGGAATTCTCTTTCTTGTTGTTTTTGGCTGATGACTTATCACTCCTTGGGCTCTTTTGCTTCTGCTTCCTTGCATTCACCAGTATAACCTAGAGTCAGGCAGATTCTGCATGCAAAGTACTAATGATCTGCAGCAGGAAACACAAGCTAAGCTACCTTGATGCTGGATTAGACATGGCTCCCACATGTAAAGGAAATTCTGGACACTGGCTCTGATTTGAGCTCTACTGAAACCCCAGTTGAGCTCTATTTCTTTTATGACTATACTAAGGAAAATGGGACTTCAGAAACCTGAGGTGTATCCCATATAAGTAAAACTTTCTACAATATTCATCCTCTTGTGGTGGCTTCCAGAAATGCTTATTCCAAGAATCCCACTTCTACTAGCAACTGGGGGAAATGAACCTCTCTCTTATCCTCTAACAGTACCCAAAGATGCTCAAAATCTCAAATTGACCTTTGGAACTACTTTCTCCTTCAGTCTCATGTCCAATCAATCAAGACCTACAAAGCTCTCTCTTCTTTCCATGCCTATTTCTAATCCTCAATCTTCACATATGATCTAATAAAGTAAATTAAATCTAAATTACCTTCTTATCTTCAATCCTCTCCTCATCAGAGTTTGTATTACATATAACATATTTATTGATTTAACTAAATTATTGTTAAACTTGTATAACTGAAGAAAAGTTAGTCTGAAAATTGGTTGTCATATGAGCCCACTGATGCAACAAGAGGAAATGTTTTTCTATTTCTCTAAGTGTAGGGGAATTTACTAACAAATCTTCATAGCCACAAAACACAAGATCCATCAGGCATAACTAGATCATCTAGTTATATATATATTCCAACAAAAAGATTTTCCAGGGATTTTGATTGAGATCCCAAAAAGAGGGATGGGTTGAAACATATAAGAAAGTGGAATCCCAAGATGATTTTTAAAAGCCAGGTCCTGTGATCAGAGGCTGTGTTGGGGTATAGTTGTTGTATTTCTTTAAAAAGTGGTGTTTAATGTTCCTTGTTTTCTTCAAAACTTGGCCAAAGGATATTTTCCCAAACATCCTCCTCATTTCAGCTATGTTAGGGGGAATAATCAAAGTTAAAAAGTGACAAAATCAAAGCAAATCACAACCAAGATAATGGAGTTTGGAGTTGGCAGCATCACAAGTCAAGTTTAGCCTGCTCTGATCCAATAGGAAACATGAGACAAATTCCTTTCAGCCCTAACATTTTAGGAGAAGATGGCCTTTGAAGAGAGTGAAGGGGTCAGCATTTGAGCTACTTGATTTAAATCTTAGATAAACTTTGATAAGCCCTAGCTGGTTTGACTCAGTGGATAGAGTGTGGGCCTGCAGACTGAAGGGTCCAGGATTTGATTCTGGTCAAGGGCATGTGCCTGGTTGCAGGCTTGATCTCTAGTAGGGGACATGCAGGAGGCAGTTAATCAATGATTATCTCTCATCATTGATGTTTCTATCTTGTTCTCCCTCTCCCTTTATCTCTGAAATCTATAAAAATATATTTAAAAACATACACAGAACTTTGACAACAGGTGAATGGATGTGAACCTATCTTAGATTGTATAAGTAACTTCATGAACAAAAACTCTTTATTATTTATTATATTAGAGTTTCTTAATTATTAGTATACATTCAATATCACTTCTTAAGTAAACAGGAAATCCTGTTCCCATCATGTG